ATCCCCACCCAGCGCCAACTTGATGCCCACCTGGTGGCAGTTCAGTCTCAGTGCCCAGCCAAACCCACCCAACATCAACCCAATGCCCACCCAGCATCAACCCAGTGCCCACCCAACATCAACCCAACGCCCACCCAGCATCAACCCAGTGCCCACCCAGCATCAACCCAACGCCCACCCAGTGCCCACCCAGCATCAACCCAATGCCCACCCAGAATCAACCCAGTGCCCACCCAACACCAACCCAGTGCCCACCCCACATCAACCCAAACCCACCCAACATCAACCCAACGCCCGCCCAATGCCCACCCAACATCAACCCAGTCCCCACCCAATGTCACCTCAATCTCAGTGCCCACCTGGCGATGTCCATCAGTGCCATCTCAGTGCCCACCCAATGCCCACCCATTGCCCACCCAATGCCCACCCATTGCCCACCCAATGCCCACCCAATGCCCACCCAATGCCCACCGGTGTCACGTCAGTGTCAGCCCGATGCCCATCGAATGTCAACCTGTCTCCAACCATCGCCCACCCCTCAGCCCACCAGCCCCCAACCCATCTCCCACCCGACATCACCTCAATCTCAGCCCCCCCCGCTGCCCGCCCAGCCCCAACCCCACGCCCCCCGTCTCCTCCTCTCCCCATGGCAGTGAAAGAGGAGCCCTGCGACGAGGCCCCCCCCGCCCGCAGCCCCCCCGGCCGCCCCCAGGACGTGACGGCGGCGGAGCTGCTGCGGCGGCTGAGCGTCGCGGGGGGCGAGGAGCTGCTGTTCCTGCAGCTGCCCGACTCCCTGCCCGGCCAGCCGCCGGCGCAGGACAGCAAACCCAGCCGGGCCGAGCTGCAGAGCGACGACGGGCAGCTGCTGCTGGTGAAGCAGGAGAAGGGGCAGGTAGGGGCTGCGGGGGGGTGGGGTGGCGCTGGGGGTCGTCCTGCCACCCAACTTCTCACCCCTTCCCCCCCAGGAGGCCAGGCAGGCGGATTGCAGCTGCACGCTGGCGGATCTCCCCGAGGGGCAGCTGGGCAAACTGGTGGTGCGCAGGTCTGGGAGGGTGCAGCTGGTGCTGGGCAGGGTGACGCTGGATGTGACCATGGGGACGCCATGCTCCTTCCTGCAGGTATGGGGTGGCACTG